GATGGTAGGATTGCTGGTTTTTTTTTCTTCCAAAAAACAGCAAAGAAAACAGGGATACTTGCACTCCTACTTACACTTTGGTCACATTTCACAGACACCACAGCATATATATATTTTAAAAACATACATCTAGGTTTTCTCTTTTTTTCTAAATAGCTCTTGTTTTTTTTTTTTCTTCTTTGTCCATGGGAAGTGGAAAGAATTTTTCCCTCCAAACCATGCGTGTCGTATGGGCGCTAAAATGCGGGAGAAATGGGCATAACCCCTTCCCGTATACATTACTAAAAAAGAAAAGAAGAAAAACTTTTAAAGGGGATGTTTAAAATGTGGGGGGATTGTGCGGATACAAAAACAATGATTGCGATGTTATGAATAAAAAAGTTTTGGGTGTCCTGGCTCTAACGAACAAGCTGAAGGGGGGGAGGAATTTCATGGGGGGAAAAAAATGGGATTTAAATTTTTATATCTGAAGAGTTAGAGCAAAGGAAGGGTAGCATAATGTTTAAAAGATCGTTTTTGGAAGGAGAAAAAGAAATTGAATGTGTAAATTTAAAAATTATGTGATTAAAGTAAAGGGGTTTGGGTGCGAGAAGTGGGGTCATAATAACGTGTAGCACCCGGAGAAAAGAATGCAGAGGAAGGAGGTTTTGGGGGGAATGTTAAGTGAATGTACAGGAGCCCTTTAACCCAAGTGGGAGTAATTGTGGTAGGGGCCTGAAACTAAGTTGGAGAAACTTTTAGAGAGGGTGTGGTAGTAAATTGGGGGGGCCAGGGGTAAAAATAATGGGAACCCTTTGTTGAACTTTTTATAGAAAGGGGTTTAGTTAAGGAAAATATTTTAAGAAAAAGAGAAAATAAGTATACAAAATATGATGTAGGGCGAAATGACGTAGTTTGTTGGATTTTTGTATTGGTAGATAAAAGACTTTGAGTAGACTTCAGATTCATGTTTATAAGGGGCCCAGATATATCAATCACTTTTTGTTGTAGCTAACTGAGGTAAAAGGAATGGATACAAGGGGAAAAAAAGCATCAGGGAAGAGAGAGGTAAGGTTTTTTAAAATAAAAGAGGGGGCCCGTTAGGGTAAGAAAAAACGCTATTGGGAAAAGAGGGCTAATGAGACATAGGCAATGGGGGGCGAAGGGTAAGGGGTAGGATTAAAAATGTGTGTTGAGTGTTTCCCGAAGTTTGTGGTTAAAAGGAAAGTGGGTGCAGGAGGGAAGGGGGCGATTGGGGGAATGTGATGTAAAGAGAGCATAGGAGAAAAAAATTAGCATATGAAAATTTTTCAAAGTTTAAAATGATCAAGGGGGGAAGAGTATATGGGGGAAAAAAAAGGGGAGGTTTAAAAGGTGGTGAAGCAATTTAAAAAGAGAGCAAAGAGAGAATGGGTGAGATGTTTTCAAAAAATTTTTTGAAAATAAAAAAAAGTTTTGAGTGAGATTAAACAAGTTAAAAACCTAGAGAACCAAAGGGTTTTTCATTAAAAAAAAAAAGAGGGAGTTATTAAATGGAGATTAGAGGGATTGGGAAATGGGGGGGAAAATTTTGAGGAATTTTTTAAATGTTTTATAAGATAGGGAAGTGGATTTTTTGTATAGGGCAAGGAGGGAAAAAACACTTGTAATGAGGGAAGAACCAGTTGTGGTGGGGGAAATTTTTGTGGGAGTAGGGAAAAATGAAAGGGGGGGTAAGGCAGCCGGGGTTGATGGGTAAAGATAGAAATTTAAAAGCAGGGGGGGAATAGTTTTGGAGTGTTGGTGCAATTATTTTTAATAAAAGATTGAAGAGGGAAGGTACCTAGGGATTTTGGCAAGGCAAGCATATCCCCTTTTATAAAGGGAAAAGGGGGGAAAAAAGGGGGAAAAAAAGGGGGAAAGTCCGTTGAGTGTACCTGGTAAAGTTAGGTGAGTTATAATTTTTAAAGAATTAAGAGAAATGGAGAAAGGATAGCAATGAACAAGGGGGCTTAGGGAAAAGGGGGGGTGTGTGGACCCGGTTTTTACAGTGAAACTAAAGTGAACATATTTAGATAAGGGAAAAAAGGGCTTTGGGCATTTATGGATTTTGGGAAAAAGGGATAACAGGGTGGATAGGGGGGCAAAAGTGGCAGATTTGCAAAATGTATGGTGTAGGAGGGAGGTTACTGAAAGCAGTGAAGAGTTTTTACGGGATAGTGAGGGCCCAAAATGGTATTAGGAAAGAGGGAAATTTTTTCCCAGTAAAAGTAGGCCTTAGACAAGGAGTTGATTCACCGGGGTTTTTAATAATTTATAGATGGGGGGTGTAAAAGAAGTAAAAGCGAGGGGCTTGGCAAAGGGGTGGAGTTAAAAGTAAAGAATCACACCAAAGGGGATTGTCACAGCTGCTCTTTTCTGTTTACAGTGCTCTTTGGGAATTCTGAAGAGAATTGCAGAGATTGGTGGGTGAATTTGGTAGGGGGGCAAAAAAAGAAAATTTAAAGGGAATAAGGAAAGAGTAAGGTTAAAGGGATAACAAAAAGATTGGTGATGAAAGATTGAATTCCGATTAGGGAGGAGTATGGAGGGGTAATATTCAATTTTGGGATGGACGTGCCGCGGGTGGGTTATGAAAGTAGGGAATCATAGAATTGATGAGGGAAAAAAAGATGAGTGGTGCACTTTGGAGTCTGGGAACAAAGAATTTTTTCCTGGGGGCAAAGAGGGAATGTATGAGAGATAGTTTTACCAAGTCTTATAGGGTGTGGAAGCGTGGGTGAGAAAGTTGCAGCGAGGAAGGCTGGAGGCGTGGAGATGCATGTCGAGGGCAATGTGTGGTGTGAAAAAGCAAGAATTTGTAGTTTGGAAGTTAAAAAGGGGGTGCGGGATTACCAAAATGTTGCCAAAGGGGGTGAGGAAGGTTTTGGGTGGTTTGGACATGTAGGAGAATGGAGCGAAACAGAATGACTTCAAGAGGTATCAGTCTGAGTGGAAAGGAAGGGGGGGTAGGGTCGGCCTAGGAAAGGGTTTAGGGAGGGGTAAAGGAGGTTTTGTGTGGGGGTTGACTTCCCCCAGTCATAGCGGGGTTTATAGGGGGGAAAGGAGACAAAGGTTTTTAATACTTGCGTGCGTTTTGGGTGTGAGCAAATAAAATTTTATAAGGGGTTCAGGGAAACCGGGGAGGGTGGACTTAAGTCCCGGAGATGGAAGTACAGTGCCTGCACTCTGAAGGGGGGGGGTGTTAATGTTTCGTTTAAAACTGTATTTTAAAGCCCCTTCTGGCAAACGTGTGGAGTGAATGATGGTGAAAGGTTTTTTTTTTTGGGCCACCCTGCCTGGTGGGAATCGGCCAGTGTATAATAAAAAAAAAAGGTAAGCCATATGGACAGATATGTTGTGCGCAGAACTCCCGTGCTCTGAAAACTGGGCCCGTGGCATTAAAAAAAGGGGAAATAACCCCAGAAAAGGACCCCTCAATCTTAATGGAAGGGGATTCCCCTTCTAAACACTAACACTTCTCCTCCTCCCATCCCATCAATCAACCAATCTTCAAAAAAATAAGTGTCTGTAATTTGCATCCTTTTTTAGTTTGGTGATTAAAATTAATATTTCATGTGGAAAAATTTTTTTTTTTTATACTTTTGGGGTGGGCTTGCACGGTTAATTTTTATTTCCATTATTTCTTAGGGAAAATTTATTGCATAACGATAATTCGCTAAAAATGAGCCTCTTGCACGGATAATATCGCATGCGGGGGTCCCCGCTAGGGGAAGGAAAAGGGGAGGGGAGGGGGCGTCCCCCAAAGGGTTTGGGGAGATGGGGAAAAGGGGGTTTTGTGGGCAAGGGGGGTTTGGGATTTCCCACAACGTGCGGAGCGTGTTAGATAGGAGTGAATGGAGACAAATGGTATTTGGGACCTGACATTTTTTGGATTTTGGAGCAGGGTATATTTAGTAAAGGGGTTTCGGGAACCGGTTTTATTTTCATATAGTCAGACTTGAGTCCGGGAAATGGAAGTAAAATGCCTGCTTTTTAAAAGGGAGGGTTTTGGGGATTTTGGGAGTTTTTGGAGGACTTTTGGTACTTTTACGTAAATGCTTCTAAACTTTTGTATTTGAGCACCTCTGCAAAAAAGGATTATGTGGGGAGGTGGGGAAAAGTGTTGAATGATATGAAAGCATTTTTTTTTTGGGGGGTTTTCTTTTTTTTTTTGGGTCCCCTGCCCGGGGGGAGCGGCCCAAATTGTTGAAAAAAAAAAAAAAAAAATTTAAAACCCCTTTTGAAAATCAATTCCTTGATTTGTTCTTTCTTTGCCAGGATAGAACCCCATGGCACTTTTTTTTCCATAATCCCGGTAAATCAACAAGTTCAACCACTCTCTCTTCTTTTATTTTCCCTTTTTCCCCTCTATGGGGTTTCTCACTTTCTTTACCACAGGGTAACCCCCTAGCAAATTTGTTTTGGCCATGGGAGCTTTTTCACAGTCCCCCAAGATAAAACAACGAAATAATTGTAAAAAAGCGTAAATGGAGGCAGGTTAGTTTCACTAAGCTAAACAAAACTAACTGCTACGGGACCTCGCGGGGACGCGGACGAGCGGAGGCAGAAGGTCCCCTACCCCAGTCCGAAAATAGAGCGCAATTTGCAATGGAACACAGTTTGTCCAAAAAATGGTCCTATTTTTGAAACGTTCGATTTGATACGTTGATTTTTGAGGTTCCCTGTAGTGTATTTTATTTTTTATTGTTTTTTTTAAAGCCTAGTTCTATTGTTAAATTAATATATTTGGTAAAAATTTCTAGTATTTATTCATTCGTAAGTGGAAAAAAAAAAGGGTGTTCCACTTTATGGCGATTTCCGCTTTACGGCAGTAGCCTGGAACCTAACCTGCCATATAAGTGGGGCCCTACTGTATATCATTTTTTTAATATTACAGGCAATACTCAGGGAGATGGAGCTAAACTGTAACCATGATTCATGCAAACAAGTGAATAAATATTATTGATCTAAAAATAACGTAAGTACATTAGTAAACTTACACAATGCCTCCCACTCGGATTTTGATAGTGTCCTCACGTGGGCAATATCTTCTTTGTCATCTATGAATTTCTGTGCATGATAATATTCTCCTTCTGTTTCTGTAGCTTGTTCACTACTGGGAAAAGTCTGTAGATAAATATGAAATAAAATTAATCAAAATTTAATTTTTTAAATGCACAGTAGGACTTGAAAATGAAAAGTACAGTAGGAACCCCATATCCGCAGGTCCAGCATAAGCAGTTTCAGTTATCTGCAGTCCGAAAATAATCCTTAATTTTGTCTAATAATAGCTTTAAAGTGCAAAAGTAGTGATGGTGAAAGCTCTTCAAAGTCTAATGGAAGCCGTGAATTGCTTCCCATCAGTGAAAAAATGATAATTCTCCACCTACTGTTCTAATTTATCAATTAAACTTCATAATAGGTATGTATGTAAATAAAAAAGACTTGTATATATCGTTCGCTATTATCTGCAGTGTTGGTATCTGTGGCAGGTCCTTGGAATGTTTCCCCCGCATATACAGGGGTCCTACTGTACATTGCCTGTGCTTTGAACTATGGGTGGAAATGTTACAGTTCAATGGATCATATGGAATGGCATGTCTATACACTTCTAGTAAGACAACTAGGAAATAAATGATGGCAAGTGTTTTTTCCTTCTTTGAATTATCCTGTCTTGGTGTATCAAATAATCAATGTGTTAAAAAAAATCATAAACATACCTCAAGAGCTTTCATAACAGAAAGCAAATGCTGACATTCTTGATCCTTTAAAGCATCATTAAATACAGTAGCAAAATCCCGACTCCATAGCTGCTCAAGACCCCACTTTTTTGCCAATCTACAAAAAAAATACAAAAAATATTATACACAAAATGTCAAAAGGCTTTCTCATTTACACCTACCCAAAAAAAAGTTTTACAGTATGAACTTACAAAAAATTTTAAAAGTTGCACGCAAAAATACTTTAAAAAGGTTTAACCAAAACATTAAAAATTTTAAAGGGGTGATTTAATCTCTGTATTTTATTAAAGAGCCTAAAAATTTTTCCAACACATTATCAAGAAGATGCATGGGGTTTTAGTCTTGCCATTTTTGTTTTAGATATAAAAAAAAAATTATAAAACTGAAGATTATACTGAAAAAATGTACCCCGTGGGGGCCCCATGAGAAAATTAGCAGTGTAATGAAGTAAGACTCCCCCTTCTACAAATTTCTTACTTTAAGAAGGAATTAATAAGAAGTTTTTCAGCATGAAACATTTTGTACAACGATATAACAACTGGGCGCAATGTAAAAAGCCACTTTATGTGCAGAGATTTGGGCAAATTAAGAAAACTTAAGATTAATAAGGCAAAAACAGTGAAGAAATTTTTGTACATATGATCATTAGGGGGTTTTTACAGTGAATACAAGAGAATTAAATATGCTACTTCATGAAATTTGGCTTTAAAAAGTTTGGGAAGAAAAGAATTTAGTTTTGATTTTTAAACCAGAGGATACAATGGAATAAATAACATTTGAGAGATTACGTATTGAAGTAAATACATACGCCTCTATCACTTAAAATGGATTTTGTTTGTAAAACCACCAAAAGGGAAATGAATTGTTGCTAAGTAGGACATCTAAATTTTTTAAAGTTTATAGAGTGTGTACTGTATATTTTAATTAACAAAATGTTGTAAAATAAATGAAATAGGTGTGGGTATATTTGTTTAAAAAATAAATAAAGTGTATGCCAAGTATTTGCCCGGAAGAAGGGGGGATGGGGATACTGCTGACTAAGTTTTAGATGACGTAGGCAGTTCAGTTACGCAGATTTTTTTTATTTATATAAGCAGCTTGCCTTTGATCAGCCAAAGTCTATCAGCTATTGACGAGTATGTCACTAAGTGAGGAGAGGCTATATTGATTATGTTTTACCTATGTTCATGATATTGAGCAAATGCATGTAAAGTTTTTACATCTGTATTTATGATGGGCTGGGAACGGTTAAGGAGACAAGGTGTTTTTTAATTGTAATTTTAAAAATGCTAGCCGAGTCAGTGGTTCTGGAGATTTCTGGCAGTTTTTTGCAGATTTTCTAGGTAGTAAGTTGGCAGACAGTAATCCCCTGGGGAAGTACTATCGTCCTGCCAAGTGAGTGTGAAACGGAAGCCTGTAATTCTTTTACATAATGGTAGGATTGCTGGTGTCTTTTCTCTGTCTCACAAACAAGCAAGATTTCAGGTATGTCTTGCTACTTCTCCTTACACTTAGGTCACACTACACATACATGTACAAGCATATACATGTATACACACACCCCTCTGGGTTTTCTTCTATTTTCTTACTAGTTCTTGTTCATTTCCTCTTATCTCCATGGGGGAAGTGGAACAAAATTCTTTCTCCGTAAGCCATGCGTGTCATAAGAGGTGACTAAAATGTCGGGAGCAAGGGACTAGTAACCCCTTGTCCTGTAAAAATTACTAAATTTAAAAAGAGAAACTTTCGTTTTCCTTTATGGACCACCCTGCCTCGGTGGGATATGGCCAGTTTGTTGAAAGAAGAAAGAAGAGTTCCAGATTTTAGGCCCTTCAGAGTACATTGAGTTTTTGAAAAGATTTAGCCTGACACAGGGAATGTCACAGAGATTTTTGTGCCTAGTATTATGTCTATGGGTCCCATTGCAACTGTCAAGAAAGCGCTTCAGATCGGGATTTATATTAGAAGTGACTGTTCTGTAAATGTAGGTTGCACAGTAGTACGAGTGAATGTTTTGTATAGTGAATAAGTTTAGGTCTTTGAAGAGTGTAGAGGGGTTTGTTGTCTAGCAGTGGATTGTGTGATCATTCACACTGCAACTTCAGATCAAGATTATTGTCTTTAGGTGATTTGGCGTTGTGGAACCCCAGGCACAAATAGCATAGGTGACGTAAGGGTAGATCAGTGAGTAGTATAGTGTAAATAGTGCTGTTTGTGGTACATAGTAACATATCTTTGAGAGGATGCCAACTCTTTTAGATACTTTCTTTATGTGTTGGATATGGGTGTTGAATTTCAGGTTGCTATCAAGGTGCAGACCCAGGAATTTTCCCTCATAATGTTTAGCAATAAGGATGTTGTTAAGCATAATGTTTAGTTGGACCTCACTTGCTCTACTCCCAAACATAATGTAAAAGGTTTTGTCTATATTAAGTGTAAGTTTACTGACAGTCATCCAGGTTGCTATTTTTGCAAGCTCTTCTTAGATTATGCTGAGCAGTTTTGGTCACCGTATTACAGAATGGATATAAATGCACTGGAAAACGTACAAAGGAGGATGACAAAGTTGATCCCATGTATCAGAAATCTGCCCTATGAGGATAGACTGAGGGCCCTGAATCTGCACTCTCTAGAAAGGCATAAACTTAGGGGGGATATGATTGAGGTGTATAAATGGAAAATAGGAATTAATAAAGGGGATGTAAATATGTAGTGTGCTAAAAATATCTAACATAGACAGGACTCGCAGCAATGGCTTTAAATTGGAAAAATTCAGATTCAGGAAGGATATAGGAAAGCACTGGTTTGGTAATAGAGTTGTGGAGGAGTGGAACAAACTCCTGAGTACAATCATAGGAGCTAAGACGTTGTGCAGTTTTAAAAATAGGTTGGATAAATATATGAGTGGGCGTGGGCGAGTGTGAGTTGGACCTGCCTAGCTTGTGCTACAAGGTCGGATGCCGTGCTCCTCCCTTAAGTGACGTGTCTGACCTCACTAGGTCAAGGTATTGGCTATAGCCAGTGGGAGAATTGGACCTTCCTTGCATAGGCCAGTAGGCCTGTTACAGTGTTCCTTCTTTCTTATGTTCTTCATTAACAACAGCAATGAGTGAGGCTAGATTAGGGTGGGAGACGACAAAAGTCGTGTAATGAGAAGAGAGAATAGGCGTAAGCTGTTGTGATACACTTGGAGCACTGTGGTACACCAGTGTCCAGGGGTCTTGTTGAGTAGGTTTTGCATTCTAAGAGTTATGAAATATAATCTTGACAGAGATGTAACAGAATATGCATGATGTGCTTGATGATGATTGTAATTAATGTTTCCTTATCTGTTAATGGTCCTAAGTATCACAGTTCCTACAGAAGTTAATACATGTGGACATTCCTTCCAATCAATCTACAAACAAGCTCACGGATCTAATCAAGTTCATTTAAAAACTAATCTTCGTGAAGTCTGACAATGAAAAAATGTTTTATAAAATACAATCATGTATGAAAGGTTAGAACATTTTCTTGGTCTTGCTTCTGACTTGTTAACTTAGCATTCAGGAATGCAACATTAATTTTCCCTTATCTCTCATAAGAGTCTGGGAGTGTGTGTAAAGGTAGGAAGTTGAAAGTGAACATAGAAAAGAGTAAGGTGATGAGGGTATCAAATGATTTAGATAAAGAAAAATTGGATATCAAATTGGGGAGGAGGAGTATGGAAGAAGTGAATGTTTTCAGATATCTGGGAGTTGACGTGTCAGCGGATGTATTTATGAAGGATGAGGTTAATCATAGAACTGATGAAGGAAAAAAGGTGAGTGGTGCGTCAAGGCAAAGAAGGGAATGTAAGAAAGTATAGTAGTACCAACACTCTTATATGGATGTGAAGCTTGGGTTGTAAATGCTGAAGTGAGGAGGCAGTTGGAGGCAGTGGAGATGTCCTGTCTAAGGGCAATGTGTGGCGTAAATATTATGCAGAAAATTCGGAGTGTGGAAATTAATAAATGTATGAAAGAGGGGAAGGTACCTAGGGATTGGCGGAGAGCGTGTATAGTCCCTTTATATAAAGGGAAGGGGGACAAAAGAGACTGTAAAAATTATAGAGGAATAAGTTTACTAAGTATTCCAGGAAAAGTGTATGGTAGAGTTATTATTGAAAGAATTAAAGGTAAGACAGAATGTAGAATTGCGAATGAGCAAGGAGGTTTTAGAGTGGGTAGGGGATGTGTAGATCAAGTGTTTACATTGAAGCATATATGTGAACAGTATTTTCATAAAGGTAGGGAAATTTTTATTGCATTTATGGATTTAGAAAAGGCATATGATAGAGTGGATAGGGGAGCAATGTGGCAGATGTTGCAAGTATATGGAATAGGTAGTAAGTTACTAAATGCAGTAAAGAGTTTTTTTGAGGATAGTGAGGCTCAGGTTAGGGTGTGTAGAAGAGAGGGAGACTACTTCCCGGTAAAAGTAGGTCTTAGACAGGCATGTGTAATGTTACTATGGTTGTTTAATATATTTATAGATGGGGGGTTGTAAAAGAGGTAAATGCTAGGGTTTTTCAGGAGAGGGGTGGGATTAAATTATGGGGAATTAAATACAAAATGAGAAGTGACACAGTTACTTTTTGCTGATGATTAAATGTGCTTATGGGAGATTCTAAAGAAAAATTGCAAGGTTAGTGGGACGAATTTGGGAAATGTGTTTTAAAGGTAGAAAGTTGAAAGTGAGCATAGAAAAGAGTAAGGTGATGAGGGTATCAAATTTACTTTGATAAAAAAATTGGATATCAAAATTGGGGAGGAGTTGGAAGAAGTGAATGTTTTCAGATATTTGGGAGTTGACGAGTCAAACCGATGGATTTATGAAAAGGGTGAGGTTAATCATAGAATTGATGAAGGAAAAAAAGGTAAGTGGTGCATTGAGGTATATGTGGAGGCAAAAAAATATTATCTATGGAGGAAAAGAAGGGAATGTTTGAAAGTATAGTAGTACCAACACTTTATATGGGTGTGAAGCTTGGGTTGTAATTGCTGCGCGAGGAAGCGGTTGGGGCAGTGGAGATGTCCTATCTAAGGGCAATGTGTGGTGTAAATATTATGCAGAAAATTCGGAGTGTGGAAATTAGGAGGTGTGGAGTTAATAAAAGTATCAGTCAGATGGCTGAAGAGGGTTTGTTGAGGTGGTTTGGTCATTTAGAGAGAATGGATCGAAGTAGAATGACATGGAGAGTGTATAAATCTGTAGGGGAAGGAAGACGGGGTAGGGGTCATCCTCAAAAAGGTTGGAGGGAGGGGGTAAAGGTAGGTGTTGTGGGCGAGGGGTTTGGACTTCCAGCATGCGTGCGTGAGCGTGTTAGATACAAGTGAATGGAGACGAATGGTATTTGGGACCTGACGAGATGTTGGAGTGTTAGCAGTGTAATATTTAGTGAAGGGATTCAGGGAAACCAGTTATTTTTATATAGCCGGACTTGAGTCCTGGAAATGGGAAGTACAGTGGACCCCCGAGTTTCATCAGCCTCGACTTTCGTGAAATTCGACCTTTGGTGAGTTTTTTTGGAAAAATTTGGCCTCGAGTTTCGTGAAAAGACTCATGTTTCGGCGACCGTCCGGTACCCGTCCGCCCGTCACCGCGCACACCAAGCCAGTCTCCCACACCATTCACGCTCAGTGTGCCATTTTTTACTAACACGTGACCATCACCCCGCAGGTTCATACGATATATTTCATAATAATCCATTGTTTTTTGTGCTTGCAACTGCTAAGTTATCATGGACCCAAGGAAAGCTAGTGCAAGCCCTTTGGTAAATAAAATGAGTGACGAGGATGTGGAAGAGTTGGTGGAGGACCACAGGGAAGAGCTAACCACTGATGAACTGCAAGAGCTTCAACTGGAACAGCATCAGACCACAGCCGAGGAACTTGCATCAGAGGAGGAGGAAGAGGGAGTGGATGAGGTGCCTTCTTCAGTGATTAAGGGCATGTGTTTAATGTGGAATGAGTTGCAAAGTATTGTTGAAAAGTATCACCCTGACCAAGCTGAAACAAGCCATATCTGCAACATGTACAATGACAGTGTTGTGTCTCACTTCAGGGAAATCTTAAAGAAATGCCAGAAAATGACCTCTCTGTACAGATATTTTGTGCGACAGGGGTCCAGTGACTCTCAAGTTGTTCCCAGTGGCATTAAAAGAAGAAGGGAAGTTACCCCAGATAAGGACTTGCTACCTAAAGTCCTAATGGAAGGAGATTCTCCTTCCAAACAATAGTGAACACCTTCCTCCTATCCCCTCCTCCCGTCTTCCATCCACGCAGAAGTCTTCAGTAAAGGTAAGTGTAATGTTATTATTATTTTTTAAATGCATGTACTCGATTTCTGATTGTTTTCATTATGTAAATCCTTATTTAATTTGAAAAAAAAATATTTTATTTTAATATTTTTGGGTGTCTGGGACGGATTAGTTTTATTTCCATTATTTTTTATTATTATTATTATTATCACACTGGCCAATTCCCACCAAGGCAGGGTGGCCCGAAAAAGAAAAACTTTCACCATCATTCACTCCATCACTGTCTTGCCAGAAGGGTGCTTTACACTACAGTTTTTAAACTGCAACATTAACACCCCTCCTTCAGAGTGCAGGCACTGTACTTCCCATCTCCAGGACTCAAGTCCGGCCTGCCGGTTTCCCTGAACCCCTTCATAAATGTTACTTTGCTCACACTCCAACAGAACGTCAAGTATTAAAAACCATTTGTCTCCATTCACTCCTATCAAATGGTTTTTAATACTTGACGTGGGAAAAATGGTTTCGAGTTTCGTGAATTTCGACCTTCGCCGGACTCTCTGGAACGGATTAATCACGAAACTCGGGGTCCACTGTCCAATGCCTGCACTTTAAAGGAGGGGTTAGGGATATTGGCAGTTTGGAGGGATATGCTGTGTATCTTTATATGTATATGCTTCTAAACTGTTGTATTCTGAGCACCTCTGCAAAAACAGTGATTGTGTGAGAGTGAGGTGAAAGTGTTGAATGATGATGAAAATATTTTCTTTTTAGGAATTTTCTTTCTTTTTGGATCACCCTGCCTCGGTGGGAGATGGCTGACTTGTTAAAAAAAAAAAAAAGTTTATTACATGTTTATTTTACACTGATCATGTTGGCAATAGCACAATTCCCCGAAGAAAATGGCTTCCCCAAATTATGCGAAGTGCAGCATTGTTCCTCACACAATACAGCAAAAACACATGGAAACTTTGATAAGCAGATGACTTTTTGCTTTGATGCCAAATTTAATCAAATCAAGTTAGTAAAGGTTTTCATGCAAAATATGAATGAATAACGTAAACAACTGACAGAAAAAAATATTTATAATTCATCCTTTAAAAAATCTTAAGTATAGTAGCCCTACCATTGGAAGAGCAAGTCAAGTACTCATAAGTAAATAATTGGCTCAAAAATGTCAATGTTCTAAATGTGGAACATAATAAGTCGGAATGTCATGAGTCAAGGTAATATAGCAACAATGACCCCCAGGTCTGTGTATGATGCTTTTATAACTTCATCACACAATCTACACACTTAATGTGACCTGTTCTACATCAGAATTATATTCCATCATTCATCTATCACTCCCCTGCTCAATTTTTCAGTCCTCTTGTATAGTCATTTAATTACTCTTTTTTTTTTTTTAACACACTATCTGTCTCCCACTGAGTTAGGGTGACCCCAAAAAAAGAAATACTTTAACCATAATTCACTCCATCACTGTCTTGCCAGAGGAATGCTGATGCTTATTATGTATATGTGTAATCTTTGCATCATCCACAGATATTTCATACACAGTAGTTTTGTATTCCTCCTGAGAAGTCATATATGCGGTGGTCCCTGGAGTTATGACAATTTAGAGTTACAATTGTCCCTCATACAGGAATTTTGTTTTGAGTTGCAATTATAGACTGGAGATACAATATGCATAGAGTGATACAACTGTTGTGGGTCTCAGCCTGGGGAAAACGATTAACCTAAGTTGCCTGAAATACCTTGCATAACCAGGGGGTTTCTATATACAATAGTTTGCCAATGATGTCAGCTAAGTCTGTAATAGTTGTATTATGTACTTGCAGAAATAAAGATTATTAGTATTTTTTTAACACTGATGAATGATATGTGTTAGTTATGCAAAAATGTAATGGGTTATGAATTTGAATCATTTTTTCTTTCAAGTTAATGCTCAGATCAGAATAAGTTTTTACATTTCAAGATGAACCATTAGTCAACTTAGTGGTGAAAAGGATCCATAAGCATGAGAAAAATAAGGGCTAAATAAAAAACAGAAAGGAAGGAGTATGACATCTGACCTACTAGCATAAGAAAAAAAAAATAAAGGTAACTGAGTACATCATGGTTCTGACAACATACTTTTCAAGAGTAGGAGGATGTACAAGAAATTCTGGGCAGTCCACAGCTCCCTCTAAGAAAAAGTTATAGCAGTCACCAAAGAGTGGTGGAGTTTCTGATCTATCTTCTGGGAACACTATTCGATAAACTTCATTTCCAATACTATTTCCATCACTGCATGTCATTCTGGACCTGAAATTTAAAACGCACATGGTTTACATGATTCTCTCGCAATAAATAAATAAAAAGCTCAATCTCTTAATCAAAAGGAAAACTTATGTATTAAAATACAATGGTACCTCGGTATACATCCTTAATCCATTCCAGGACCTTGGACTTATACCAAACAAATTCTCCCATAAGAAATACAGTGGACCCCCGGTTAACGAACTTTTTTCATTCCAGTAGTATGTTCAGGTGCCAGTACTGACCGAATTTTTTCCCATAAGGAATATTGTGAAGTAGATTAGTCCATTTCAGACCCCCAAACATACACGTACAAACGCACTTACATAAATACACTTACATAATTGGTCGCATTTGGAGGTGATCGTTAAGCGGGGGTCCACTGTATAGGGAAAACGATTAATCCGTTCCCATGAAAAAAAAATCTTATTATAGGCATATTATACATTGATGGGGTTGTATAAAATAATTTAAACACTGCTTAATACTAAAATATGTAGTTTAAACACTGCTTAATACTAAAATACATACATAAATACAAAAGAATTAGATGAAATAAATGCAAATTTAACCTCACTTTACTTTGCTGAAAAGAGTCAAGTGCCTACAAGGATAGTGCTGAGAAGGGAGGAGGGGGAAATGTTATTGTTTGGAAGGAGAGTCCCCTTCTCTTTTCTGTCTGGTTGAAGCTCACCAGGTTTGACTTCTACTAAAAATCTGTCCAAAGAACTTTGTTTCTGCCTTCTCCTCAGGATGTTCTGGAAATGTGACAATGTCTGGTTATTCCAGACAATGCTATTATGGCTTGTTTGGACTTTGTTGAGGTGGTACTCCTCTGCAAAGTTTTTGAAGTCCATCCATTTGGCAAAAATTTCCTTAATTAAAGAAGTAGGTGCTTCCTCTATCTCCTCTTCCAAGCCTGAAGAGAGCACATGCATCTTAAGTCTTGTGCTCCTCCTCCTCAGCGGTCAGCTCTTCCCTGTACCCCGCCACTAACTCCTCCACATCACCATCACTCACATCTAGACCCATGGACTTGCCCAGAGAGACAATATCCTCCACTATAAACACAGCCTCAAAGTCCCTTTCAGCCACTGCTTCTGGCCACAAATTCCTCCAAGCAGAGCTCATTGTTCTGTATGAAACTTCCTGCCCGGCTTTGTCAATGAGAGTTATGCAATGGGCGATAGTAAAGCGATCTTTACAAAACTCTCTCAGGGTTAACTCTGTGTCAGAGGTCACTTCAAAGCACCTCTGGAATAGTGCTTTAGTGTAGAGTTTCTTGAAATTACTGATGACCTGCTGATCCATGGGCTGAATGAGAGGAGTTGTGTAAGGGGGGAGAAACTTTATAGTGATGAAGTCACACTCCAGCAGCACATAGTCCTGTAAGCTTGGAGGGTGAGCTGAAGCACTGTCCATTAAAGGAGGGCCTTCAGAGGCAGGGTTTTCTCCTCTAAATAGCTTTTTACACTTGGCCCAAACACATCATTAAACCATTCGCTGAAATATTCTCCAGTTACCCAAGCCTTGCTGTTTGACCTCCACATCATAGGTAACTGAGTTTTCTGCACATTATGTTTTTTAAAGACCCTTGGGTTTTCAGAGTGGTAGATCAGTAGAGGATTCAATTTGCAATCCCCACTTGCACTGGCACAGAACAAGAGAGGTAACCTATCCTGGCTTGTGTCCTGGAAATGCCTTCTCCTCTTGTGTAATATAAGCCCTGTTAGGTATTTTCTTCCAAAACAGGCCTGTTTTGTCACAATTAAAAACTTGTTGGGGAACAAAACCCTCCGCCTCCACAAATTCCCCAAACTCTGCAACAAAATCACTGGCAGTATCTTTATCAGCACTGGCTCCCTCTCCATGCCCCACAACACTGCGAATGCCAGTCCTCTTCTTAAAATTATCAAACCAGCCATGGATGGCTTTAAACACTTCACTTTCTTGGCTCAGTCCTGCCTTGTTTCTCAAAGGATCGACATGCATCAGTTTTGCCTTTTCATAAATCACTGCCTCTGATACACTATCACCGGCACACTGTTTTTCTGTTTTTTTTTTTTTTTATCACACTGGCCGATTCCCACTAAGGCAGGGTGGCCCGAAAAAGAAAAACTTTCACCATCATTCACTTCATCACTGTCTTGCCAGAAGGGTGCTTTACACTACAGTTTTTAAACTGCAACATTAACACCCCTCCTTCAGAGTGCAGGCACTGTACTTTCCATCTCCAGGACTCAAGTCCGGCATGCCGGTTTCCCTGAACCCCTTCATAAATGTTACTTTGCTCACACTCCAACAGCACGTCAAGTATTAAAAACCATGTGTCTCCATTCACTCCTATCAAACACGCTCACGCATGCCTGCTGAAAGTCCAAGCCCCTCGCACACAAAACCTCCTTTACCCCCTCCCTCCAACCTTTCCTAGGCCGACCCCTACCCCGCCTTCCTTCCACTACAGACTGATACACTCTTGAAGTCACTCTGTTTCGCTCCATTCTCTCTACATGTCCGAACCACCTCAACAACCCTTCCTCAGCCCTCTGGACAACAGTTTTGGTAATCGTGCACCTCCTCCTAACTTCCAAACTACGAATTCTCTGCATTATATTCACACCACACATTGCCCTCAGATATGACATCTCCACTGCCTCCAGCCTTCTCCTCGCTGCAACATTCATCACCCATGCTTCACACCCATATAAGAGCGTTGGTAAAACTATACTCTCATACATTCCCCTCTTTGCCTCCAAGGACAAAGTTCTTTGTCTCCACAGACTCCGAAGTGCACCACTCACCCTTTTCCCCTCATCAATTCTATGATTCACCTCATCTTTCATAGACCCATCCGCTGACACGTCTACTGCCAAATATCTGAATACATTCTCCTCCTCCATACTCTCTCCCTCCAATCTGATATCCAATCTTTCATCACCTAATCTTTTTGTTATCCTCATAACCTTACTCTTTCCTGTATTCACTTTTAATTTTCTTCTTTTGCACACCCTACCAAATTCATCCACCAATCTCTGCAACTTCTCTTCAGAATCTCCCAAGAGCACAGTGTCATCAGCAAAGAGCAACTGTGACAACTCCCACTTTATGTGTGATTCTTTATCTTTTAACTCCACGCCTCTTGCCAAGACCCTCGCATTTACTTCTCTTACAACCCCATCTATAAATATATTAACCCTTTCAGGGTCCGTCCCGTAGATCTATGGCTTTACGTTCAGGGTCCAAACCGTAGATCTACGCCATGAGCGCAGCTCACTCTGATAAACTGAGAGTGGTACATTTGGGCCTAGATATGAGAGAATACATCTATGTGGTATGTGTGCACCACATAAAACAGATCCTGCAGCACACTGTGTATAATGAGAGAAAAAAATGAAATCATGATTTTTCGATTAAAACAGCAACTTTGCAGTGTTTTTTCGTATGTTTTTTATAGTTGTATTTGCGATTTCTTGGTCTCATTTGATAGAATGGAAGACATATTACAGAAATAGAGATGATTTTGATTGGTTTTAGCACTGGAAATGGCTTGAAACTGAGCTCAAAATAGCAGAAATGTTAAATTTTTGCCGATATTCAAGAGTAAACAAACGACCTCACACGTCTAATACACGTCAGCTGGTGGGTCTAATATATATTCACAAATATGGTGATGATATTTATACAATTATTACAGTATTGCATAACAGTAAATCTTCTATTTTTTTGGTGTGAATAAAAATTCATTATGTGAATAAAAAATCAAAATGGAATTTATTTGTAAAGCCTCAAAACATAACTAATGAACAGAGGAAATGTTAATTTAGTGCCAGGAATGCCTACATTGTTCATTCTGGACCCTATTTTGAAATTGGAATATTTTGAACTTTGTGTTAAATTGGCCAAATTAACAATTTCCGATCACTTTATTTTGTAGTTGAGACAGTTGACTTGGCGATTTCTTGTACTCAATCGATAGAATAGAAGTAATACTAGTGAAATAGCTAAGAATTTGGTTGATTGGAATAATGTAATTGGCCTAAAATGGGAGTCAAAGTCGGCAAAATCGGCGATTCGTAAATATCGCTGACACATTAAAATTCGCGAGAGCATAATTTCGTCAATTTTCCACCAAATTTCGTACTTTTTGTTTTATTACCTTCACAAAAAAATTCTCTACGATTTCATAAGAAAAAATAACAAATTTTTTTTTTTTAAATTCTTGGACACTGGTGCGTGACTCCAGATTTGGGCCTTGGACCCTGAAAGGGTTAAACAACCACAGTGACATCACACATCCTTGTCTAAGGCCTACTTTTACTGGGAAATAATTACCCTCTTTCCTACATACTCTAACTTGAGCCTCACTATCCTCGTAAAAACTCTTCACTGCTTTCAGTAACCTACCTCCTACACCATACACCTGCAACATCTGCCACATTGCCCCCCTATCCACCCTGTCATACGCCTTTTCCAAATCCATAAATGCCACAAAGACCTCTTTAGCCTTATCTAAATACTGTTCACTTATATGTTTCACTGTAAACACCTGGTCCACACACCCCCTACCTTTCCTAAAGCCTCCTTGTTCATCTGCTATCCTACTCTCCATCTTACTCTTAATTCTTTCAATAATAACTCTACCATACACTTTACCAGGTATACTCAACAGACTTATCCCCCTATAATTTTTGCACTCTCTTTTGTCCCCTTTGCCTTTATACAAAGGAATTATGCATGCTCTCTGCCAATCCCTAGGTACCTTACCCTCTTCCATACATTTATTAAATAATTGCACCAACCACTCCAAAACTATATCCCCACCTGCTTTTAACATTTCTATCTTTATCCCACCAATCCCGGCTGCCTTACCCCCTTTCATTTTACTACTGCCTCACGAACTTCCCCCACACTCACAACTGGCTCTTCCTCACTCCTACAAGATGTTATTCCTCCTTGCCCTATACATGAAATCACAGCTTCCCTATCTTCATCAACATTTAACAATT